GGCAACGGGGAGTAATTATAATAATGTCAAGTAAATTGAATCACAAATTATTGGTACATTGTTAACAATGTTATCTCCATCAAAATGTTAAAATATTAATTATAATGTTAATATGTTAAATACAATGTCAATATCGTCCCATTGGAAGAATAAAGTGTTATAATCACATGTGTCAAAATTCATATTATGGTAAATTCGTCATCCTTATAATGTAAACTATCGATTAATACTATTTTTATATATTTTTATCCATTAATTCAAAAGATACAATGCTCGAATAAAGTTTTATCCGCGCCGACTACGTAAAATAACTATGCATGATCACATACAACAATATTCTCCGCCTTGCTCCTGCGCAATTAGCTGCGCGTGCCGTGTCGCTTCATCCTAAGTAACGTTATTCGACGAAGTAGCCGCGAGTGGTGTTTGTTACGATGAATACCCAAAATTTGATAAAAACTGCTGTATATAATGGTTTGATACAATTTACACTACGTTGTATTAATTTCGCACAAAGACAGTATTTATAATCACATAAATCATTTTTTTACGAAATACCAAAGCTTACTTATTAGAACTTAAATCTGCACTAAATACTTTAATAATAACTTATATAACATTACGGTGTTTAATAGCACTAGTCTTATTTTTTCCCCTATTTTTTCAGTTTCTTATAAACCTAGTACATTTTACTACATAAAATTTTGTATTTTTTCGTCCGCAAGTACGCATAAAACATTATTCTACAAAAAATAATTAAATTGAGTGCCGTATATGCAAATGACACTTCTTTTTACCAACGGTTTTATTATAAAACAATATTCAAAATCTTAAAATTGCTATAAAATGGTTAAATTTAATTTAAAATATGAACAGCTTATTCAATAATCTATTAACAACTAAATATACCTGTTAGACTAGACAGCAAAAAAGCAACTAATATAAGTTTACATTGAAAATACCAATGGACCTAAACACACGAGTGCACGCCTCCCTTTTATGACATGTTTGCTTGCGTATTAGAAAAATCGAAATAGTTTATTTTTTCAAAATCCCAGTTCAGAGCAAAAAAAAATAATTAAACAGTGACACGTGAAAATGTGAGTGCATATTACCACAGCAGACCACTCGAGCGCACATCAAATTACATATATCTAAGTTATGTACATACATTTATTTAACTGATTTTTTTAAACTATTATGTTATGCATATGTACATAAACATACATGACGCACAGTTCGGGTTTCGACCTGGACTGTCTACTGAAAGCGCGATTCTGGCTCTTAAGCACACTGTCCAATACTATACTGAAAGGAAAACTCCGGTATACGCCTGTTTTCTGGATCTCTCCAAGGCCTTCGATCTCGTATCATATGAGGTGCTGTGGAGAAGGTGGTGTGCCGGCAGAAGTGTTAAGAATATTTAAATACTGGTACGCAAATCAGACCAATCGTGTTAGGTGGTCAAATTGCCTTTCGGAACCATACAGGTTGGAGTGTGGAGTGAGACAGGGGGGATTATCTTCGCCTAAGCTCTTCAACCTGTATGTAAATGACCTCATAGTCGAGCTCAGCAACATGCGTGTCGGCTGCCGGGTGGGGGGAGTCTGTATAAACAACATTAGTTACGCGGATGATATGGTGTTGCTGGGGCCGACTGCGGGGTCAATCAGGCAGATGCTAAAGGTCTGTGAGAAGTACGCCGCATCACATGGACTAATATATAATGTAAAAAAAACTGAGCTCATGGTTTTTAGGGCCGCTGGCAGGTGCCCTGACACCATTCCTTCAATTAGTTTGAACGGCACTATTATAAAACAGGTAAACACGTTTAAGTATCTGGGCCATATACTTGTCAGCGACCTTAAAGATGATGATGACGTGGAGAGGGAACGCAGAGCGTTGGCCGTTCGCGGAAACATGCTGGCGCGCAGATTTTCCCGTTGTACGGACCAGGTCAAAATAACCTTGTTTAAAGCATACTGTCAGGGTCTGTACACGGGGAGTCTGTGGTTTGTCTGTTCGCGGAGGGCGCTAGGAGCCCTGCGCGTCCAATATAATAATGTTTTCAGGATGATGTTGGGACTCCCCCGTTTCTGTAGTGCCTCGGGGATGTTTGCCAGATTAAGTACAGATGGTTTCCAGGCCATCGTCAGGAAAAAGGTGGCATCGCTTGTGGGGAGGCTTCGGGGGAGTGGCAATAGCATCCTGAAAGTCGTGGCTGAGGACCCGAGAGCGCCAGTGCTGAGGCATCTCATGCGGCTTCATTGTCCGCAGGAAGTGCCTCGTAAGTACATGACTCATTAATTAATATACCTTTTAAGTTGTTACTTACTAACCCTAGTGTTTAAGTTGTAGTTTAAAAGACACATACTAACACAAAATGGTTCCTATGTTGTTCCAAATAAAAATTTATTATTATTAT